ATTGAAATAAACATTATTATCGATACAGAGGCCGGATCTAGAGTTTTTAGATTTTTTGTCTGTCTGTCAGTCTGTTACCGCATCACAGAAAAACAACTGAAGGGATTTTAATGAAATCTGGTATGGTGATAGTTGGTTATCCGGGTCAATATATAGGATACTTTTTACTGCGAGAAAATATCTCATATTTGAGAAAAAAACTGAAATGTAAGAGTATACTAATATGTAAAACCTAAGAATTTGGTTTTTGGTCATCAACGCGGGCGGAGCCGTGGGCAATGCTAGTTATCCATATATTCGTTAAATAAAAATGTTCCAACAAAAACAACTGTATAACTGGTCCCAATTCTATATAAAACTTTTAGGAATATATTTCGTAGTTAAATTTACTACGTATGCATTTCAGTGACAAAATATTTTGAAACTGTCTATATTATTGAGAGACTTTTAAGAGAAAAATATAACAGAAAATAGCTGAAAATACAATACAAAGCCCTAAATTATTCAAATAATTGATAAAATTTAAGTTAAATAAGATTTCTGTAACAATAAAATAATATCTTGCCGTCTTGATTTAGTAGTAAACGTAAGTCGTGTACAGGGATCACGACAAGAGTCATGTATACCGAAAGAGTACAAGGACACGGTGTTCTTTGAATATCAGATAAAGCTGTTACTATAATATAATATTTTTATTTAATACTATAGATGCGAAACTGCATAAATGTTTGTTTGTCATCCTTTTACGCAGCAATGGAACAACCCCCGAATGAGAAATAACATATTATGTAGATATAGGGTTATAAAACTAAACATCAAGCCAAAAAATGTTTTATTTATTCTCTAAAACTGTAAGTATATTAAGTTATGTAATACATATAATATAATATAACTAGCGGCTCACCCTCGCTTCGCTCGGGTTCGTCGCTAGGTACGTTTTAAATAGATATAAAAAGAAAAAATCTTTCTTTCTCACATTTTAATTATATGTTTTAATACTTACCTATTCCGGACTAAGAGAAATCCAAAAATTAAAATATCATAAAAATTGGAACGCGGTCGAACGGGATAAAAAGTATCCTATGTCCTTCTCCTGGCTCTAAACTACCTCCCTGCCAATTTTCAGCTAAATCGGTTCAGCCGTTCTTGAGTTATAAGCGAAGTAACTAACACGACTTTCTTTTATATATATAGATATATAAAATTAACGACACGTTTGGCTCAGTTTGTAGTGACCCTACTTGCTGTGCCAGTCGTCGCGGGTTTGACTACTCCAGTCATGGGTGTTTATATTTATAATATTTATGTATTTAAAGTTATATATGTGTAGTAAAAATTTTACAATCTCGTGTACTGTCGACACAAAATAGACGAGACTATTTACGAGATACATACATACAAATATGAGTTGAATAATTAAGCTTCATAGAGATTCTTTATACAAAACTAGCGACTCACCCTCGCTTCTCTCGGGTTCGTCCCTAGCTTGCTTCCCAATACAAACATTCATCCCCATTTTCACCTCCTTAAGGGATGATTTCCGGGATAAAAAGTATCCTATATCCTTTCCAGGGTCTCAAACTATCTTCTTAACAAATTTCATCTAAATCGGTACAGTAGATCCAGAGATGACTCCCTACAGCGTCACAAACTCACAAACTTTACCTCTTTATAATATTAGTTACAAAACATACCCACCATAAGGTATTATTGACAAGATCTATATAAGCTCAGAGAAAACTTGTTCAAATAGTTAGAACTCAAATCGAATTGCTGAGTTGAGGAACTTGCAAATTACTTCAGAAAAGGTAAAGATTCTGTCTTTCTTTCAGTTTACCTTTCTCTAGTTCTCGTTCTTTCTTTTACAGAAACTTTTCAAAAGCGCAAAAAGCTTAGAGCTTTTTTGGAATATTTTGGAAGAATAAAATATATAATACTTTCTTACATTTACACGAATACTTGACATTTTAAATAAACCAAAAATCAAAATAAATTCGCGAAAAAATCCGAAAAGATTTTCTTATTTAAAATAAAATATATAATTAAATTACCTTGAAAGTACATAAAACTTTTATGAAATGGACATATTTTTGACATGTTTTTTCACTTGAAACTAAGTCTGCTTAACGAGATGAGAATATAATAATTTAATATAATAGAGCAGATATGATGATAGAGTCTCAAGAAATAGAGTTTAAAAGAGGGGCAAATAAATATCTTGTGTGGTTATTTGAAAGCTGGCCTTGGTTTAATTTTATATTATTATATTAGCATATATTAGCAGATATTTATTTATTTATTTATTTATTAAGGATATTCAACAGAAGTACATATAAAAATACAAAAAAAATAGAAGCTCTTTGGACAATGTTTAAAATTTACCTCCAATTACTGGAGAACACAACATTCACTAGAACAGTGTTGATATTATAGATACATGTAAAACCTCTTTTACAAAATAAAATATCTTTTTTTACTTAAAAAAAGATATTTTATTTTGTAAAACCATTTATTTCCCCTTTTATAACAATAAAGCGAATAACTTAGAAATATTTGTACTGTAATAATAATAGGAATTACGCCTATAATAATCCTAACAATTGAGATGAACGGTCGTTTAGAATAACGCAGTGTACGTGCGGTATTAACGAGTATAATAAACATTATAAAATATTGAATTTACATCGAATAAAAGTTATCTAAATTTCGAACAATATCCATTTTACTGAAGATATTTGTTTATAATTTTAATATTTTTTTTGTAAATTAACAATAAATTTAAATCAAAAATATATAAGTACAGAAAATCGAAAATTATGCTAGTTGTGAGTAAAATAAAAGGCTTAATACAATTTATTAAGAAAATAATTTTTGTTCAATTTCCTTGTCAAACAGTGTAGAGTTCGATTATAAATCCCTTATAAGTTTATGGCTCACCTTACTTTGTAGGCTTAGGGTATTAAACAAATATTTGTAGGGGATATTATTTTTGCCATGGCTTTAAATTTCATTTACCCTTACGAAATTGTGTTTTAGCTAAACAAATATTATATAAATATATAATTTTATGCAATTTTTTGTTCGTGACTTCGCTTGCATTTGAAATTCATTTAAATCTGATGTCACTTAATAGTAACTGCTTTATTTCAGAGTGCATAGAGAATACTCCAAATCTTTCCTTTAGGTCAATATATAAAACCACTGTAATTACGATTATTTTGTGCAATGTTTAACTTTTAAATCTTATATTGGAACATAATGTATATTTTTTTTAATCTGGAGGTGGGCGTTAATGACTACGACACAGTTTTAACTAATGTAGTCATTATCGAACATAATTTTGTAAATTGTAATCTTTAAAACGTGTCCAATAAAGATTTTATTATTATTTTATTATAAATCTCTATCTATTACTCTGACAGACGGACGGGCGGACAGCGGAGGCTTAGGAATAGAGTTCCATTGGCACCCTTTGGGTACGGAACCCTAATTATAAGAACTCTAGCGACTCACCCTCGCTTCGCTCTGTTCGTCCCTATCTTGCTTCCCAATACACACTTTCATCCCCATTTTTACACCCTTAAGGGATGATTTTCGGGATAAAAAGTATCCTATGTCCTTTCCAGGGTCCCAATACAACATAAACGTCTAATTCTATGTTTAGCAAGTATGGATCACCTACGATTATTCCCAATGGCTAACATTAAATGGTACGTTATCGAAAGGCACTCATGTGAACTAATTTGATGATACATGAATGAATTCGCTAGCTGCGATAAGATATTGACATAATATATTATTTCGAAGCAACTTTCTGTTAATTTTAAATGTAACTTAAAGTTTGTTGTGCGATAAAAATCTTAATGACCAACATCGACATATTATCATCATACATTCTACATCAAGCGTAGAAAAATAAAAATTGTTATTTATTATTCGCCTATGCTTTAGCCGTAGCCTATATTTTTCTAGATCATAGTCTGTCCTTGTTCTAAATTTTATCCAAAACCGTTCAGCCGTTTTAACGTGCAGGAGTAACTAATATACACGCACACACAAACTCTCGTTTATAATATGCCTTTTAAAGTTATTTTAATATAAGACTAGCGACTCACCCTCTCTCCGCTTGGGTTCGTCCCTAGTTACGTTTTAAGTTTTAGTATAAATTTCTCAACGATGAGATATTTTTTCGCAGTAAAAAATATCCTATATGTTGACCTGGATAACCAGCTATCATCATATCAAATTTCATCAAAATCTATTCAGTGGTTTTCTCGAGATTCATTCCCAAACAGAAAGTGGAACAGCTGGTTGTCCGACTCAACATATAAGATACTTTTTATGAGACGCTAGTTTTTACATATAACGCTAAACTAAAAGATACTTATCTGCCATATTGATTGACCCTTACCTTAAATAAACAAAAACTTATTATATAATATACTAATGTATGTAAGAAAATAATACTATAGTATAGACTAGTTTAAAGAATTCTAGAGCTTGAGCGTGACAATACTTTTATGTTCAAAATTTCTCAGTAATAATAATATACTTAATTTATGTATATGATATTTTTCAAGAATGTTCTACAATATGTATTTTATGTTAGTTACCTTTGAAATCTGAAATACATATAATAAAATTGTAACAAAGCCAAATCTGTACATTAAATATTTTGTGGAAAATCTTATTGAAATAAACATTATTATAGATATAGAGGCCGAATCTATAGTTTTTAGATTTTTTGTCTGTCTTTCTGTCTGTCTGTCTGTTACCGCATCACAGAAAACCCATTGGAGGAATTTTGATAAAATTTGGTATGGTGATAGCTGGTTATCCAGGTTAACATATAGGATACTTTTTACCTTTTTTTTTAATAACGTTTGTTAATGTTCATAAAATAATCCATATATATCATATAATATCGAACGTGATAAAACAATGCATTTAAATATATTATTCTAAAGGCATTTTATATAACAACTTTAATATTTTTACAGTATATTGGGACAATGGACGTGCCGCGCCCTACGAGCCGGGTCGAGATAGTCGCTGCTATGCGCCGAGTTCGTGTAAGTGCCAAGCTTTTATTCTTATATTTTCGTTCTACAGTTATAAAAATTTTGTAAGCAAGCACTTACCGAAATTGAGTATTTGTAAGAAAAACAATATATATATCGTTATTTTGTGCTCGTGACTACAATCGAATCGTACCTACTAAGGGCTGAGTTATAAGACGCTCTCATCTTATAACGCGATCTATATATGTCGTAGAATTAAATCAAAACTAGTTCAGTGGTTTAAATATGAAAAGATAAGCAGACATACATACATAGTTACTTATTTTATGTATAAATGTAATAATTATAATAATATAGAATTGATTCAAGAAAATCGAAATTAACACACTGGCGTTGTTATTTTTTTAAGTGGCTAGTATGCTAAATATATATATATATATATATATATATATATATATATATATATATATAGATTTTCATTTTGTATATTATTGATTACTTATTATACAAGATTTCTTTAATTATTTGCAAATTAGTAAAAAATAAGTTAAATATTAAAATATGTACAAACTTAAAAACTAAAAGATAAATACAAATAAAAAATAAATAAAAAATGAACCTGTATATAACGTCAGTCGGGTTTTATAAATTATAATTTTTTGTAAAATATTTTTTTTATTTACTGCTTTTTAGTTTTTGTTACTTAGACATATTTTGTTTTATTTAAAAATTTCTTATCATAAATTACTTTTAAACGTATAAGTTGTATAAATTTTATAATCGGCTCTTAAAAACACCACTCGATTGATTCGGAAAAAAAATTCAAGACACAAATTGGTGCCTCAGATCCGCCATTTAAATTTTTAATGATATGACATTTATATATTGTAATATATGACACTTTCGTTATTTTTGTGAATCATTAAAAGGAGTAAAGCCATTTAGTAATTATGACGGAACTTAGGGTCAGATATACATATGTACATAGAGACAAGTTAAACGCATAACCCTCCTTTGGTCTTCTTACAGTCGGCTAAAAGGTCGAGAAAATTATTATTCGTGCTAGATGGAATTTTCCCTGCTGATGAGATTCAGTAAATAAAGAAGCATAGTGTAGAGAATTCGCTAATTTGGCAACATTCAGTTCATTATGTAAAATATTTTGGAGCTTTCATGACGAATATATTTTAATATTTATAGCACAACATTTTTGATAAAAAAGTAGCAATTATATACTTAATTAATACACAATACAGTATATTGCTAACGTATCATATTAAATAGGTACTTTTTTTTAAATGAGTATGCGAGCATCACATACTTTCTGTGCTTTTGTTGTAGTTTAGATTTTAATTTAGCAATATTTCACAAAACTATATTATATATATAAATATAAATATATATATATATATATATATATATATATATATAAATATATAAATATATATAAATATATATGTATTATGTATATTATGTATATATAAAGATATCTACACCGACTTTTAAATCAGTTTAGGAAAAATCATTACTTCACCCATAAAGTTGGGTTCTTTTCTGGAAAATATGGGGTCCCTTGAAACATGATATCAGTTTAGAATCGAATTGAGTATCTCCTTTTTTGAACCGGTCAAAAATAAAATTGAACATAGAAACTTTATGTAATGTGTCAAACTTAGAATAATGATAACTCACTAGAAATCTTGTGAACGTCACCGTGCCTTATTCTGGTGGTGTGCTGAGAACACAGTGCCATGAATATAAAACGAGAATTTACTAAACTATTTACTTCTAATTTATGAAATATAATCGACACACCTTCGTTTCGCTTCGGATTCATCCCTAGACAATAACAAATCTATCCCACGGGAACCGTACATTTTTTCAGGATAAAAAGTAGCCTATGTGCTATTCCAGATTATAATCTATCTAAATGTCAAATTTCATCTAGATCCGTTTTGCCCTTTTAGCGTGAAAGAGTAACAAATATCCAAACATTCATCCATCCGCCCAAACTTTCACATTTATAATATTAGTAGGATACATGAACGAATTAACCACTTCGTTCATGGTAGGATAATATACTCATAATAGTGCAAACATTTGAGGTCTTCATTCATTTCTTTGATTTTTATATGAAATTTATTATACGATACTAAAAAGCGCAATTTTTGATTCAGAAATTGAATATTATAAAATCTTTTAGATGGTAGTGGATTATTACAAAGATGATTAATCTATACAGATAAATAAAATTGAAGTGTCTGTTTGTAATGTCAAAATAACAGCGTTTTACTAAATACATATGAAAATATATACGGTACTTATAAGAAAAACACTTTTTTTGTCTGTCTGTCTGTTTGTTCCGGATAATTTCTGAAACGGTGACGACGGGTTATTTTGACGAGACTTTTACTGGACGATAGCTGATATTATAGGGAGTAACATAGGCTACTTTTATTTTAGAAAAAGAATTAGGGTTCCGCTCAAAAAAAATTAAAACGTACCTATATACCTATACCTGTTATATAATAAGTGTTGTGCAATATTTTACATTACCGCTGTCGGTACCAAAGTGGTAATATTGCGCGGAATTTACGCAGAGTGTATTACAGTGTTTAATCAATTAATTGGTTGCCAGTGACTAAGTCGGCTAATAAACAATTGATTCAATTGAAATATACAAACTTCAGAATGAACTGACTAAATACAACTTCAGGCAAAGTTTTGATATAATATGTAGGTACTTTAATAAACAAAATGCATACTATTTATATAAAACTAGGGACGTATCCTTGCTTCACTCGGATGCCTCCCTAGGTACGCGGATTATGTTCGTCATTTCATGGATTTTATTATTTTGCGCAGAACCCTACTTTTTTTATAAAACGAAAATAGCTTATGTTACTCCTTATAACATCAGCTATCTGCTAGTGAAAGTCCCAACAAAATCGGTCCAGCCATTTCAGAGATTAGGCGGAACAAACAGACTGATATTTTAAAAATTGATTATTACTTATAAGTACTAAATGTAATTTCATACGTTTTTAGTAAAAAGCTATTATTTTGACATTACAAACAGACACTTCAATTTTATTTATTTATATAGGTAGATGCTACTTGTTACCTATGGCTCCGTTCGCGTAGCTTATTTAAGTTTAATTGCACCGCTCCTAAATGTTAGAGCATGAAGCAAAATGCTAAATAATCTCTTCGGCTTTATAATACAAATTTAGTTTATGCGTTTAATTGCAATGCTAAACAGATAAAGGCACGTTGTGTTTAATTTATAAGGATTAACCTCCTTATAAATATAAAAAAGTTAAATTTTCCATTTACCAATGAAAATTTAAGGAAATGTGGTTTCCACAAAAAAAAATTTCTCAAGCACTATTATGTCGCCATATTTGTAATAATATTTAACCAATATAAACCTCGAAACGCTTTCGAAAAGAGCAAGAAACAGACAGTAAACATGTTTAGAGCAATCGCTACTTTGGAAGCTAAAATAAATATTTACAAGTTCCCAACGAGATCCTAACGTCTTCTCTCAAACGTTTCAAACATTTGCAAGTCTGTTTGTATATTAACTTTCAAGTTATGCATTTTATGTCGTATTAAATGTAATCATACTTTTATTCCAAACAGTCATTTAACCTGGTTTTAAACATCTAATCTTCATATATTAAGAGTACTAGCAACTCAACCTCACTCCGGTCGGGTTCGCCCCTAATTACGTTTAAACGATTAATATAGATTTCTCCGAGATGCGATATTTTCCCGCGGTAAAAAGTATCCTATATGTTGACCCAGATAACCAGCTGTCATCAAAATCTGTCCAGTGGTTTTCTCGTAACTCATTCCCAGACAGACAGACAGACAGACGGACAAAATTCTAAAAACTATAGATTCAGTCTTTGTATCGACAATAATGACTATTTCAATAAGATTTTTCAAAAAATATTTAATGTACAGATTCGACTAGGCATTTTATTATATGACCCCCCCAACGTGCGTTCACCTTGTCGTGGTGGGGGGGCTCAGTAGTGCCCGGCAACCCAACCGGGCGCGAAGCCAAGAAACGCACAGGGAGGTGGCCCACTCCGGTGGGCGGTGGGAGGTGGCCCTCTTCGGAGGGCAGTGTATCATGTGGGTTGCTCCTGGTACTTCTCTGATAGCAGAGTGGACTGTGGAGCAACCCCGTGGTTGTTGTGGTCTGCTTCGGCAGACCTGCCGTCGGGGCGTCGTAGTTGAATGCGTAAGCGATCCTGCGACGCCCCTTTAAGACGGGAGAAGGTTTTGTTGGGTTTTAGTGGGTAGTACTGGCCTTGCCGGTGAGTCCCACACCTCGTGCGTAAATGCATTTCCCAACGTTAAAAAAAAAAAAAAAAAAAAAAAAAAAAGGCATTTTATTATATGTATCGATTTTCTAAGTTAACTTATTGAACTAAGTCAACCTATTTAATCATATATAAATTGAAAACTGTTTCGTTTCAATCGATCACGCAGAAACATTGTTTTAGCTATCTGTCTGCACCTTCCTATAAAAAACGCGTGAGATGTTTAATGAATGATAAGGACTAAATAAAATTTAAACGTGGAACCATGGCCAGTTACTCGTATTGATGAAATTTAAAAGAAATCATAAGAATTTTAATAATATAAACAGATATACAATAAGAATTTTAATAATATAAACAGATATAGATGTCAGGACCTGAACGCCATGCAAAGGCTTTCTGTGAGGTTGTCGTGTTATATTGTAATTTTTTTAATTTTTTATTACGTACCTTCTAGCACAACAATATATTATATTATACCGTCATCGATCTTATACTAGTAGGTGAAAGGCGATTTTATAAAAGATCTAAACAATTTCGCAAAGAAGGGTTACTAAATAAAATAAAATTCTTTGTAGAAATTCAATCACGTTCTCGGGGCGTTTAACGAATTCCTACGGCTTGATCGAACAGATCGTAGCTACACATCTATAGCTATACTAGCAGTACCCGCAGCGTTTCGATCGCTAACAAAATTCACAGGATGACTCGCTCGGCTAATCTGAAGATTACCTGAAAATTTTATCAAAATCGCTTTAGCTGCTTTGGAGTCCATAGGAAACACACAAATCGATTTTTATTTTATTTAATCAACAATTTAAATTTATTTATTACTAGGAAAATGGAGTCTTCTATGAAAATTTAATGAGACACCAACTGTAGTGCCACCTACCAGATCCATTTGTGAATTCAAACCTTGCAGGGACCCACTCTAACATACACAAAAAATTACATTAAAATCGTCCCTGCCGTTTAGGAGATGATCAGTGGCACACCGACTGCAGCACCATCTACTGGGTCCGTTTGTATTTTCAAACCATCCAGGAACCCATTGAAATATACACACAAAATTTCAACTAAATCGGTCCAGCCGTTAAGTAGGAGTTTGGTGACTAACACACGTAGAGAAGAATTATATATATTTGGGAAAACTTAAAATAAGCTTGTTAAAATTTTGTAAATTTATGGTGCATACCCCATAATAATTGCTTAGTCGATTATGAGAATGAGATATCTTAGTTTCACGACAAAAAAAACCTACCGAAGTTATTCTAGAACACTTTCAACTATCTCGATACAAAATATCATATCAATCCGTCTGTCCATTTCAACGCGAGAAAAGAACAAACGAAGAAATAATCAAATACACTATGTTTATAATAATAGGATTAATATATGGTGCTATATAAAATATGCAAAATTTTTATGGAACTTGTCTCGTAAACAATTTAAATAAAAAAATATGTTCTTAAGCAAAGTATTTATTCTTCTATTATACTTTCATGAAGTCAAAACGCTAAAAACTTCTTCAAAATACGAGTATAACACCTCGTTTAATCGCCTCTACCAATGACAAGAGAGCTTGCTCGTGTTTCTCTCAAAGAATCGGTATTTTCATTCAACGTGGGAATGCGGCTAGCATTCTTGCTACAATTCCACGCGAACAAGACTTGTACAGTAATAATTTTTGTTTTATTTTGTATATATAATTAAGAATATTTTGAAATTTCAATGTATACTCTTTTTTGAAAATAAAAATATAAAAAAACATATGTTCGCAAATATAAATGCATGGGATTAATTAATCTAGTTGATACTTGTAGGATGACTGCAAAATTATAGTATTCCAATTTTGTAAAGAGTAAAATTCACGTTTTCAAAGTGCTTTTAAAATGAGAACATCTAAATAAAATAAATTATATAGATTTGAGTAGATTAAAATTTTACCCGTAGATAATAATTTTTACACAATTGAAAACTTAATATATACTAGCGACTCATCATCATCCCGCTCGGATTCGTCCCTAGTTACGTTTTAAAGTTTAGTATAAATTTCTCAGAGATGATATATTTTCCCGCAGTAAAAACTATCCTTTATGTTGACCTGGATAACTAGCTATCATCATACTAAATTTCATCAAAATTCGTCTAGTGGTTTACTCCTGATGCGTTCCCAAACAGACAGACAAAAATTCTAAAAACTATAGATTCGGCTTCTGTATTGATAATTAATAATGACTATTTCAATAAAAAATTTCGAAAAATATTTAATGTACAGATTTGTCTCAGTTAGAATTATTTATATGTATGGATAAAATCTAATCGATTTTCGCTCATATTCAGTCTAAGCTTGCTGGATTGAGGTGTCAAACACCTTTTGTCAATACAAGGCAATACATTTACTTATACTTTCAGCTCAAATTATACTAGAATCTGGGTTATTTGTTTGAAAGCCTTTTTTAGGTAATGATAGAAAGCATATTGTTTGGATGGTAAAAAACCTTGAGATTTCAACCAATATTTATGAAATAAACAAAATTTGAATATAATATTTTACCTTTTTCATATCGGTTGCTTAAAAAATATTATACAAACGGAAATGTAGTTAGCTTAGCAGCAACGCTCCGTACGTAATGATTCAATAACTTTCGACATGATAACATAATTATTCACGTTTTAAGTGACGTTTTAAGTGAAGTTATAATATTATATTTAAAATAAAATTTTAATATATAAAACATGAACCAATTGTGGCTAATTCGTTCATGATATAAAAGTAATAGCTATTTATTATACACCAAAAAAAAAGACAAATATGCCTAATACCTCCTGTTCCTGCAATTTTTATTTTTTCATTATTTTAAATTGTTGTTTATTGAAATAAAGCTTCTTTATAATCGTTGTAATTTGAAACTCGGTGAAACGGAAATGCGACACTAAAACGGGACAAACACATAAATATATAGGATTAAGCCGGCGAGAGAATGAGATAGAATACATTGCCATGTTGCCATAGTAACCGTTGTTATTGTCTGACAAATATATAATATTAAGTTTTATTTCGACCATGTGTGAATTGCACACACACGCAGTTTTTTATTTTATGTTTTTTTGTATTACAAATAATTTCATGTAAAATATACGAATAATATATTATTAACTATATAATATTTGTTTGCAGTACGAATTTAAAGCCAGAGGAGTGAAGAAGCGCAAAGTCACTGTGGATGTGTCGATAGATGGCGTGCGTGTGACTACTCGCACTAAGAATATAAAGAAAAAGGTATGTTAAAGAGTCATGCATCAGCCTAGTATGTATAGTAAAAAAAAAATTAATATAGCATAACTAGCCTTTTTTTAAACAATATTATTTAAAACATTTTATTTTTAAAGTGAAACTTTTGAAACGGAAATCAAACGGAAATGTGACACTAAAAAGAGACAAACACAAGAATATATAGGATTAAACCAGCGAGAGAATGAGATAGAATACATACATGGCCACGTTGCCATTTATTATGCCAATAAATTTAAATGCCATATTGCCAAATAAAATGTAAAATAACTTTTAAACTAAAAAGCCAAATATTATGATTATCCTACTCCTGATACTCTATGTTCATATCATTCTCTCGTTGCTTACTTTTCTGAAGTTTCATTTCTACCGTGTGTGAATTGCACAAACACACACACTTTTTTTGTTGAAGTTGGGTACGTTTAATATAAGTAAATAATTTCATTTAGAATATACTTTGACTATTTAGACATGCACATCACATTTGAGACACCTTTTTAATGATCATCTACACGTAAGCCTTTGTTTTTAGATTCATTCAAACAATGAAGCCTAATGTTTTAGCTACTACGATTAAAAATCTGTTGAAATTCATCTAGGTATCATTTTGGTCTCTCTTGCATACCAAAACGTTATGTCGACATGAATTTTATAAAATATTCGATACAAATTCTATTCAGCCCTTTTTAACGTCCTACTGCTAGGCACGGGCCTCCCTTCAATCGAGGGGGATCAGGCCATAGTCCACCACGCTGACCAAAGCAAGTTGGTGGATTTTATGTCTTTCGAAAACTTGCTAGGTTCTCTCAGACATACAGGTTTCCCCACGATGTTTTCCTTCACCGTAAGGCACGTGGTAATCATGTAAGAAATGATTCGCACATGAAAATATCAGAGGTGCGAGACCCGGGATTTGAACCCGCTTCACTCAATTTCCCAAGCGAGCGCGTTACCACTGGGTTATCACTCACATACATAAATTCACCTTAAAATAAAACTACAGTAATTTGAGAATAAAAGCAACTCAATGTCCCATTTTACAAAAAAAAGCTTTATTATATGATTTTGTATCGTTCAAAATAATGAAAATATTTTGTAGCTTAGTCTAGATTATTTAAATGGCCTCACTATTGTGTGAAAAATGATAAATGATCTAAGGATCGAGTTCACTTCACCAGTTAGTCGTTATCTAGCTTATGCTTTGTAGAAAGGCTGCGTGAATAATAGCTACCATAATAGAACCCACGGCTTTGCTCGCGGTAAAACTACAAAAAAACTCTTAAAAGGTAGATTTGATACAAACTTTCATCCTCTATTTTATCCCCTTTACGGATGAATTCTGAAAAATGCTAAAACCGTATTTATTTAATTATATTGCATTAATACCACGTTTCAAGTAATTTAAAATTTCATTTAAAAAAGTTCTGATCATAAACAATTTTTTGGGTTGTATTATAATGTGTTTTCCCGTGGGAATGAGATACCTAATCTTCCACGATAAGGTGCTGTAAATAAGTAAAGTAGCCTATGCCACTCTCCAACTCCCTCTCACAAAAAATCACGCCAATCCGGCCTCTATTTTGACGTGAAAGAAGGACAAACAGACAAACAAATACACTTTCACATTTATAATATTAACACATTTATAATATTAAGTATGGACTATCTTTTGTGCAGTGGTAGCCCAGTGGTAACGCGCTCGCTTGGGACACCGAGTGATGCGGGCTCAAATCCCGGGTCTCGCACCTCTGATATTTTCATGTGCGAATCATTTCTAGCATGGTTACCACTTGCCTTACGGTGAAGGAAAACATCGTGAGGAAACCTGCATGTCTGAGAAAACTTAGCAAGTTTTCAAAAGAATGTGAAGTCCGCCAACCCGCACTTGGCCAGCGTGGTGGACTATGGCCTGATCCCCCTCGTATTGAAGGGAGGCCCGTGCCCAGCAGTGGGACGTTAAAAAAAGGGCTGCATACATACATACATACTATCTTTTGTTATATAATAAATCAGCAAACCTCTCTCGCCTCGCCTAAATGTTAGGAGACATAGATTCTTAAAGTTACACGTACGCACCATAAGCATATACATTATAGAACATACCAATATAAAAAAGATCGAGTCAAGTTTTGAAGACACTATACTAAGAATTACAACAAAAGAAGCATCGATAGAAGTTTACAGATTCCACACACTGATCTCCTCATACGTATACGCCACAATGAAGTCAAACATTTTCGCGTATAAACGATACATAAAAACAATTGATAACCCAAATTGTTTATATTTTACCTAAAGTGTTCTCTACCGGAGCAATATTCAAATTATAAGAGAATAATCTAAAAAAATGTTACCATAAAATATGTATGTAAGAATATATTATACACTATCTAATGACCGTTTCGCAAAAGTCACTATATATTAAAGACTTTTTGAATTTAACGAAAACTAAAATCCTTATATTTATACTTTTATACTATTAATTTTAACAACCTTTTTGTTGTATGCTCTAGCTATACCTTTCTTTCAGAAAAAGGTATAACTCTAGTTATACCTTTTTCTGAAAGAAAGTATAGATATTAAATGACTGAAATAAAATAAGAAATCTTTAATAATTATATCTTTATTCTTTTACAAAATAAACATAACAAAATATATTTACTGTATGTAGCCAAGAGGCATTGATTAATTAACATAATTCTAGGAACTTAAATAAAGCAAAAGTAAAAACAAAGCTCACTTAAAATAATTAATAAAATCTTAAAACATAAGAATTTCCCCTATATATAATATCAGTAATGATTACAAAAAGTTTGTCTGTGATTTTCAATTATCTACATATCTTTTATTCTATACATAAATAAAATTGAAGTGTCTGTTTGTAATGTCAAAATAACAACTTTTTACTAAATACATATTACGAAAGTATTCATATACTGTACTTATAACAAAGAAAAACAATTTTAAAAATGTTTGTCTGTCTGACTGTATATCTGTCTGTATGTTGGGGTTAATGTCCAAACGGTAAGACCGACTTTGATAGGACTTTCACTGGCACGTTTAAAAAAATGTCTGTCTGTTTGTTTTTTAATTCCGGCTAATATCCGAAACGGCTGGACCGATTTTGATGGGACTGTAACTGATAGATAGCTGATATTATAAGGAGTAACTTAGACTACTTTTATTCAAGAAAAAGGATTAGGGTTCCGCGCAAAAATTAAAACGCAAGATATTGCGAACAAAATCTATATGTAAAATCGCAGACGAGACGGGACGCACCCGAACGAAGCGAGAATAAGTTGCTAGTTATGTAATAATATACATATATAAGTAAAAACTAGCAGAACCGGTGGCTTCGCTCACGCTAAAACTACAAAAAAATCTCTAAAAAAGTAGTTTCATACAAACTTTCATCCCCTATTTTAACCCTTCATAGGATGAATTTCGAAAAATGCTAAAACATTTATTTATTTCCTTGTATTCAAGAGCATTAATGCCAAGTTTGAAGTAATTCTGATCAGAAATAAATTTTTGGATTGTATTATAACATGTTTTCCCGTGGGAATTAGATAATCTCCCGCGGTAAAAAGTAGCCTATGTCACTCTCCAGCCCTCCAACTATCTCTACACAAAAAACCACGCCAATACTTCTCTCTGTTTCGACGTGAAAGAAGAAGAAACAAACAAACAAACACACTTTCACATTTATAATATTAGTATGGATATACGGTGAATGTATTAACGGGTAGAATTGGGTTTCCAATCGTCGATGGATGCTGCATCGGGAATAGCTCACGTGATCGCGACGGGATGACACATATCAGCAAAATAAAGTATGCAGGTGCTAACTCATGCTTTCCTTCTAATTTACATTCTATTCCATTAAAATAAGATTGATATTCCGAACACCTCGCATTCTGCAATATTGCTAGTTTAACGTGAGCGAAATATACACAGAGTTTTGTTACAATATTCGTTGAATCATAATTCTAATGTTACAAATGGTAGTACACACCTGGGTGTTTCAACTTGGACAACGCCACTTTCTGGAATTTTCTTTAAGTAATTATGCTATTGTTTCATATTATTTAAAACTAGCACTGCCCGCGGCTCCGCCTACGTTCAGATGACCAAAAGCCAAATTCTTAGGTTTTACATATTAGTATATTCTTACATTGCAGTTTTCGTATTTTTTCTCAGAAATGAGATATTTTCCCGCGGTAAAAAATATCCTATATATTGATCCGGATAACCAGCTATCACCATACCAAATTCCATCAAACTCCTTCCAGTGGTTTTTCTGTGATGCGGTAACAGACAGACAGACAGACGGACAAAAATTCTAAAAAGTATAGATTCGGCCTCTGTATCGATAAGAATGTTTATTTCAATAAGATTTTCCAAAAAATAATTAATATACAGATTCGGCTTGGTTACAATTTTATTATATGTACCTATAGATATGAAATATTACTAAAGAATATATTAAATAAAACTATCTTTTCGGATTTTTCACTGATTCACTCAGTAAAAACACAAAAATTAAATTAACAAATACTGTATACGTAAATCTAAGAAAGTATTAAATTAATATTTTCTATAGCAAATAATTCAATTTAATAATAAAAATAACAATGATCTCTTTCTGTTATTCTATTTGCGCTATAAAAACAGCTGAAAATAATATTTAAATTCTTTATTATGTATTATTTAATATTTATTACTTTCACACTAACCGCACCCTCGCATCGCACGGGTTCGTCCCTAGGTACGTTTTAACGGTTAAAATGGAATAGATAGACTTTAGTTATGAGTATATGATACATGGCCTATAGCCTTCCTCGTAGTCCACGGGCTATCTAATGCAAAAAGATTTTTTCAAATCGGATTAGTAGTTCCTGAGATAAGCGCGTTCAAACAAACATACAAACAAACAAACAAACAAACAAACAAACAAACAAACAAACAAACAAACAAACAAACAAACA